AAAAGTGAACGTGAGCATTGCTGGGCTTAGGAAGCGGGGATTTGGGAAAAGCCAGACTTCCTTGCAAGAAGCTGGGAGTCGTGGTTGGGCTGCAAGAGGAGCGTTGGCACAAAGCCCTTTCCCCACGGCTGCAGCCTGGTACAGGCCCCTTCCAAAAGAAAAATGGTTGGGCAGGAAAAACCCCTCCTCCCAAAAACGCTGGGCTGAGCTTTCAGCAGCCCCGTTGTGTCCCAGTGCTTTGGTCTGGGTCACGTCCTGCTGGGACCCTGCTGGGTGCGCTTCCCCCCCGGCTCTTCCCCTGGAGTTGGAGCATCGAGGGGTGTTTTGGTGTTACTTGTTGGTTTTCCAGGTAAAACGCGCTGCCGCTGCCTCGCAGCTCCTGCCTGACCCTCGCAGCGCACAGCATCTCCCGGGGCCTGCAGTGAGTGTGGCTGCGGGGCGGGCAGGGGGCTCCCACAGAGACACAGGACAGCGTTTGGGGACTCTTGAACCCAGGAGGCTCTCCCAGAGGGGATCTGTGCCTTTTTAGAGCCGAGTCAGCAATTTCTCCACCCTTGGGCACTGTCTGTGCCCTGCGGCTCCGTTCCAGCTCCTCGTAGCCGTGGTCTCTAGCGCTTGTAACCAGGTGCTCCCTCGCTGCTGTTGCTTTCTTTTGTATTTTGGTTTGGTTTGGTTTTGGGGACTGCAGATGTTTGCAGGGTTCAGCCAGGTTTAAATTGCACCTCACAAGCGATTCCTGTGGTAGGCAGGAGCAGGGTGCCCCGTTGAGTTTGGGAAGGGAGGGCTGTGTTCGCAGCATTGGTGCGTGGTGAGAATGTGGACTCAGGTCAGAAGAAACACGAGCGGCTTCAGGAAAAGAAAGGGAATCCTGGTGTTTTGATAGCGGAGATCTCGTGTGCTCGGGGCCAGCGTGGATGAGCCCCCAGGCTTTTGGGAGCTGCGCCTTTCCCTGGGTGGTAGGGTTGTCCCCCAGCACCCCCTGTCCCATGAGGGGGTCAGGCAGCAGGGGCACAGCTCAGCTGCTGCGTGGTGGCCCAAACCGTGAAGTAGATGCGATGTGGCCTCTTCTGGTGTCCCACAGAGCTGGGAGCACAGCAAAACACGATGGTCCCGTCCCAATTTTTGGTGCATGTGTGGAGACGTGTGGGAGTCAAGAGCTGAGCCTTGGTGTGCAGGGGTGGCGAGGGGAGGTTGGTGTCCGTGGTCCATCCTCGTGGCTGGGATGCGAGCGTCTTCTGCTGGAGCCCGGTAGCTGCAGGGGGAGACAGGGCCACCGTCCCCATCGCCCCTGCAGAGCCACGGGTGTGTTTGTGTCTGAGAGGAGAGGTCGGTGCCTGCTGTGACGGGGAGGTCCCACCATGCCCAGCACTTATTTAAAACCCCAAAACTTACAGTGCAGCCCCAGAGCCATCCAGGACCTGGTCTCCCAAGTCCTGCGCCCCCTTTTCCCTCCCGCCCCGCTGTTCTCAGTGCTGTTCATCCTTTACAGGTTGGCAGGGGGGTTGCTGTGCCCGGGCTGATCCCTCACAGGTACTTCCTATGGTTAATGCAGTGTCCCGTTTTACTTGCCTTAAAGGTGGAGAGAGAAACGTTAGTATTTGCACTTAGCAAAGCATTATGTTAAAAGAAAGAAGCCCTGTAAAGATGTGCATGTTCTGCGACTTTGTATAACGATAGCTGAAAATAAATAGGTGGTTTATTAAAAAAGAAAAAGCGGCAAAAAAAGGCAAAAAAATATTTTTCTTTACCTTCTGGTAGTAAAGCGTTCTAATATTCTGTGTGTACAAAGTTCCTGTATTATATTGTAATTTGAATTTTTGTAAATAAATTTGTGCACTCTGGCTTTTCACCTCTGTGCTTTTGTTCCAGCCCAAACGCCGCCCTCGCATCCCCCCCGTGCCGGGGCCGCCTGGCCAAACCTCAGCCGGCGTGGTTGAAAACTCTTTGAGTTGTGAGGCAAAACCCCCTTGACCCTCCTGGAAAAGCCTCACACGTCCCACGTGCTCCCAAGGAAAAGGCTGAACCCAACAGAAAATGGTTTCCAGTCGCTCCTTTAAATGGAAACCAGGATGTGTGCATGGTGAGGGGAAAGGCTGGGGGAGCCATGCCCCCTTGCAGGGGATGAGGGCGAGTGTGTGGCCGTCGGAGCTGCTGTTTCCTGATTTCCAGCCTTGATTTCACCCTGTTTACAGTAAGGAAGGAAGATCCTTCCTTCACTCGGCCCTCGCTGTGCATTTTAGGGGGAGCTGGGCAGCCCTCCTTTCCCAAACTGGAGATTTCAGAAGCCAAACAGGGGCCGTGGGTGACCCGCAGGGGCCATTGGGGCTGTGGGCGATGAGGGGCAGTGCGGGGCCGGGGGCTGTGCGCGGGTGATGGAGTTGGCTCCAGCCCCGCCGTGAGCACAGGCCGTGCCCCATCTCCAGGGCCAAAACTGAGGTTGGCCCCAGCTTCAAGCCTGGGTGGGTTGGTTGAGGTTTAGGGCTGGTTTTGGCCATTTTGGGGAGCAGAAGTGCTGAGGACACATCCCGGGCATCCCAGCTCCCTGGGCTGGGCTGCAGTGGATGGGCTTCCCACCTTCCCCCCCTTAGCTTTGTTTTAAATCTTCTCCATAATCACCGAGCACAGGAGGGGGGTTATTGCTGACCCCCACCATGGTGTTGCACCCAAACCCAGCACCCCATCGCTTTCCCCTCCCTGTGGGTGCCTCCCTTGGGGCCGTGCTCCCCCATCCTCAAAGATGCCCATGGGCTCGGTGGCTTGGGGCTGCTCTGAGCATCCTGAGAGGCAACCCAGCCTCCAGCCAGCTTTGGCTTTAGGGCCATTGGGTGGAGATGACCCCGTTGGCCACCATCCCCTTCCCACCACATCAAATTTGTCCCCCAAAAGGCTCCACCACCCCAAGTTGCCCCATGCTCACACCTCCCATCCCTCACAGACTCAACCACCACCGCTCGTATCCGAATGCAGGTTTTATTTTTTATTCATCTTTCTCCATTTGAAGCTATTTTTTTTTTAAGTTATACAAATGGCACTTACAAAAAAAAATAATAATAAAAAAAAAAAGAACAAACCCAAAAAAAAAAACCCAAAACCCGAACAAACCCAAAACTTAAATTTTCGGAGTGAGATGTTTTCAGAGTCACGACACCCGATAAGAGGAGACAGGAGAGGTGTTGACCTAACGTCACACGGAAGAAGCCGGAGCGGGAAGTTACGTGGGTCGAACTGCGACGGGGGGACGGGCAGGAGGCGACGCGGATGATTTTGGGGGGGGTGTGAAGGCCAGCGCGAAGTGTGTGCCA